TACATTTTCTTCTCTCTCTCTCTCTCTTTTTTTTTTTTTTTTTTTTTTAAGATCTATTTCTTTGAAAGAGTTACACAGAGAGAGAAGGAAAGGCAGGGGAGGGGGGAGGGAGAGAGCAGTCTTCCATCCACTGGTTCACTCCCCAATTGGCCGCAACAGGCGGAGCTTCTTCTGGACCCATTTGGGTGCAGGAGCCCAAGCACTTCAGCCTTCTTCCACTGCTTTCCCAGGCCATAGCAGGGAGCTAGATCAGAAGTGGAGCAGCCAGGACTCGAACTGCAGGTGGCGGCTTTACCCGCTACACCACAGCACCGGCCCCACATGTTCTTGACTTTGTCTTTTGTATACATTTTCACTTAATAAATGTCTTCATAGGATTCTTTGATCTTTCTGTCCTGTGCTGGTTTTGTATTTATATTCCTTTTGTCATTTGTAATGTTGCAGTTTTCCAGAGGCTTCAGGGATCATCTGTGGTTCTTTGATTTCTGTCCTTACCTTTATCTTTCTCCTTCTAGTTTCTGTGGTTTTATTCTGTTGAGCTTTTTCCTCTTCATCCTCCCCCCGCCCCCACTTCCCTCCTTCTTTCTCTCTTGAAACTTCTTAATGAGGGCACATGATGCATTATTTTCAGCCCTTCTTCCATCCTACCTTAAATATTCAGGGCTGAACATTTCCCTTATAAGTACTGCATTAGCTGCATTCCATGGTTTTTGATAAGGAATATCATTACTGTAGCATTGAATATTTTAAATTTCTTTATGGTTTCTCCTTTCATCACTGAGTAATTTTAGAAGTATTTTTAAATTCCCAAATGTAAGAAGCTTGAGGTTTATACATATGTGTGATTTACTTTTTTTTTTAAGATGTATTTATTTGTTTGAAAGAATTAGAGAGAGAGAGAGAGAGCGAGCTTCCATCCACTGGTTCACTCCACAGATGGCTGCCACAGCCAGAGCTGTACCAATCCGAAGCCAGGAGCCAGGAGCTTCTTCTGGGTCTCCCACGTGGGTGCAAGGGCCCAAAGACTTGGGCCATCTTCTACTGCTTTCCCAGGAATGTTAGCAGGGAACTGGATCTGAAGTAGAGTAGCAGGTACTTGAACCAGTGCCCATATGGGATGCTGGAATGACACAGTGCTGACCCCTGTCATTGACTTTTTTTTTTTTTTTTTTGACAGGCAGAGTGGACAGTGAGAGAGAGAGAGACAGAGAGAAAGGTCTTCCTTTGCCGTTGGTTCACCCTCCAGTGGCCACTGCGGCCGGCGCATCGCGCTGATCCGAAGGCAGGAGCCAGGTGCTTATCCTGGTCTCCCATGGGGTGCAGGGCCCAAGTACTTGGGCCATCCTCCACTGCACTCCCGGGCCATAGCACAGAGCTGGCCTGGAAGAGGGGCAACCGGGACAGAATCCGGCGTCCCGACCGGGACTAGAACCTAGTGTGCCGGCGCCGCAAGGCGGAGGATTAGCCTATTGAGCCGCGGCGCCGGCATTGTCGTTGACTTTTAACTCACTTGTGTCATGGTCATAGGACAGGGTCTGTTTGATAACATTTTCTTGAAATTACTGAGATTTATTAGTATTCAGTTAATATCTGTCAATGTTCTCTGTGTGCTTAAGAAATATTTATATCCTCTAATTGTGGGGTTAAAAATGTGTGTGTCCACTAGATTATCCTTGTTGTTGTGTCTTTTGAGGAGTCTATGATTTACTAATCTTTTATCTGCTTGATGTGACTACAATTAGTACAGTTAGAAAAATTATGTTATCATTGGTCTCTTTCCTTCCTGAAGTTAGGTCAGATGTGTGTATGTGTGAGTCAAGTTTAGGATTGTGCCTCTTCCTGAATTGAACATTGTCTCATTATATAGTGACCACTTGATAATGCTTTGTCCATAAGCTTTTTTGTCTGATGTTACTGTGTTTAACTCAGCTTTCTTTCAGCAGTTTGCTTTATTCGTTTTTGAACAGCCTTTTCCTTTCAACTTTTATAGTCCTTATGTTTACATAAGTAGACCTCTTGACAGTAACATGAATAGATTGTGTTTTTAATCCAATATGGAAATGCTGTCCTTTAGCTGGAAAATGTTTTTTTTATTCCTCAGGCCCAAGTTGGGAAAGGGTTTGCTTTTGTTTCTACTGGAAGCATCTAGCCCCTTCTAGGGTCTCAGTGTTTGTGGGGTGGCAGACTCAGCCTCCTCATCGTGCAGGTGGCCCAGGGTTCAGCGTCCCCCTCGAAGTGCATTGTTGGCATCTTCCCTCAGGCTCACGTGGCCTTTCCTTCACTGTCCAGCCACAGGGGCACATCATTTGGAGGACAAGTGAAGATTGCTGTTGCTGTCCCTTGTGAGGTCAGCAATGCTTCAAGGAATGTTTCTTCTGCAGCCTGGGATTGTTCTGTGAGGGCAGGGTCCCCCAGACCATGTTGCCAGCATTATCCCAATTGTGCTATTCTTTTGTATTCTGCTTTGTTTTTTCCACAGTACTTACTGACATGCAGCATACAGCATACTTCCCACCAGAATGTAAGTTCCATGAGGATAGGGATTTTTCCCATTTTTGTTTTCTGCTGTATCTCTAGCATCTAAACCACAGCCTGTCCTTAGCATATGCTCAGTCAATAGTTGTTGAAGGAATCAAGGAGAAGATGGTTCACAGAAGTGATGCCAAGTCTCGGACTTTCATAAAAGCTCTGTGCCCCTTGTCATAGGTCAGGGTGCCCACATCCTGCTGGTCCCTCCACCTCTACTTTGGGGTCTCTCCATCCTTTCTAGTCCATCCTTCACATTGCTACCGAGTGTTTTTCAAAAACAGATCTGATGATCTCATTGCCCTGTCTTGGCTTTGCCTATAGAATAAATTCTGGTCTCTTTAATGGGGGGCATTTGATTCTCAGTTTTATTTATACATTGGGCATTTTATGCTGTAGTCACCTCAAAACACTTATAGGTTCTCATCATGCCAAGTTGGTGTTTCTGTGTGAATGTGCCTGCAGTGTTCCATGAGCCTGAAAATGCATTCTTTCGTTTAGTCCTATCTATCAAAGTCCTAGTCAGTCTTACTTAAGACTATCCTGATGTTTATAAAAGAATCATTCCTTCCCAACATTCCCCACCCACCCACCCATTTTGGTATTTTTCACAACCTGCTTGTATTCTAAAAGGCTGTTTGTCTTTTCCTGCTAGATTCAAGCTCCCCGAAGTCAAAGTCTTCTTGTTTTGTTTTTCTTTGTTTCCTGAAAGTCTGCAGCACAACATTTTTTACATAATGGGTCTTTGATAAGTAATCATCAGACTTGAATTTTGAAAGTTTAGTTTTTGCCTGATGCTGTTTTTCTCCTTTTGCTGTGGTAACTAATCTTGGCTCCTGTTTTCAGTCATCATCCTCTTGTGAAAATAAGTTTCAAATCCAAAGCTCCTGTCCCCACTTTCCTGGCTAATGTGACTGAAACTTAGGATGTCATCTCCTGCTCTGTGCTGCTCCACAGCCCAAACCAACACCGCTCCTAACTTCTGCTTCCACAGACTGCGTCTCCCTTCCAGTCACATGAACTCAAAACCTTGATGAAATCTTCATCACTCTCTATCGTTTGACTTTAGCCAGCCACAGAGTCCTATAAATTTTCTCCTCTAAATGGTTTCTCAGCTCTATAGCACCCTCTCTATTGTAGCTGACAAAGCCCTCATCACCTCCTACCCAGTTCTGTTACTTCTCCCTGCCCTGTTATCTCTCTGTGGTCAGTATCATGGTCACATTACTTCACCGGGCACTGACAACTAGCCAGAGGCTGTGTTCGCTCTCCCAACCCCACCAGGAGCACTCGGATTTCTGTCAAGGCAGACTTTTAACTGTGTCCAAGCTTACCTGTTCTAGCCCTTTCATCTCCTGCAGTGCCCTTGTCCTTCCTCCACTCCGCCCTGCTATTTCCTGTCTGTTTTTCAGGATCTGGCTAATGGACACTGCCCTGACCCCAAGCCCCAGTGAACCCTTCCCTTAACAATGAAATCTCTCCTGAATCATGTCCTCCTTTGAACTGTGTATTATTTTCACTGAAACTTAAAAAAAAAAGAAAAAAAAGACAGGACATTGGAAGGGGTCTCTAAGCTAGACCTTGATACAGAGCCTCTGGTCGTTCCTTCTGCTGATAATGGTGAGCACCTGCAGGTCAGGAGCCTGGTTTCCTGTGCCTTTGTTTTCCCCCTTGATGCTTAGCATGGTTTTCTGTTCCTAAAAGACAACACTAAAAATAAAGTCCCTGATTGAGTACTTGAATCTAGTAAGATAAAAATGTAAATTTTCTCTCCAAAGAGTTTACAAAGGAGGCTTACTCCGCTTCCCTCCCCCAAAGCCTGTCTCCACAATTTCTGTTTCCATGTCTACAGATGAGGATGACTTAAAAGATGGTGGATCCATTTGCAGCCTGCTCTTTTCTTTATATATCTCTGCATTAGCCTTCATTTTTTATTTTCCTACATCTTGAAATTATATTTGGAATTTCTCACTTTTGCACATACTATAGCTGACTATGAATTTTAATGGAGTCTGTTGAATGTTAATCATGTTTTTCTCTGGTAGTTTAGAAATATTTGGCAAGGACTATTCTGCTTGATATACTTAAGTGAAATAAATTTTGTTGTGGTTTGTAATTTCATATAAAAATTTTCAACCACATTAACTGTTGTGGGCAGTAAACAGTTAATCATTTGTGCAGGTTTTTAAATTATTTTTTTTCTGTGAGGTAAATAGAAATGGTAGCTTTGATTAATTTGCAGTTATTCGTATGATTTTGAAAATAAGGAGTGTTTAAATAGCAAGGATGTTTTTATAAAGTTAATGTTAACTTAAAGGATATCAAATGCTTTAACTATGTAGAGGGTGCTTATTATTTGGTTATAATTTTGATGAAAATACAGAAATGATAATTTCCTATTATAAAAAAGTTCTGTTTTAGAGCATGTCAAAAGAATAAAAACAGTAATTTGAATGCTCTATTTTTATTTCTAGAAACCAGCAAATATCCTAGTAATGGGAGAAGGTCCTGAGAGGGGGAGAGTCAAAATAGGTAGGTAATTATTCCAAAAATAATTAAGAAACTGAAGTGATGGCAAAAATGGTTTCCCTTTTTAACATTCATATTTAATTTTTTTGTGTGTGAAATTGCTTCCTCATAGTAGTTTTAGAAAAGATGCTGAAACCATAGATAGGCTATGAAATGCAAAGGTGTTTTCCACAGTAAGATCCTAGCCGACTTGTGGCAGCACTGAGAACAGACCAGCAAGCCCAGAAGAGCAGTCATTTCCGCATGCATCAGTAGCACTGTCTTGCACAGTCACCCTACACATAATCCCCCAATCTTACTCTCATGTCAGCCTGGCTGAGTGTTCTCTCCCCGAACACACACCCACCCCTGCCTGCTGCTTACAGATCCTCTGCAGGCCTCCCTACTCTGCCACACTGTGTGTCCTTGCTTGGCACCGGCAGATCTGCCCTGAATCAGTGTGGATGTTTACGGCCTCTCTTACCTGCCTTGCTAGATTGAGGCACTGGCAGGAGTCTTGTCTGTGTGTTCAGATTGCCTTTGGAACCCCAAAGGTGCCAAAAGAAATCAGCTTCATTTATACCCATGACATACCTAGAACAAAAATGAGCTAACAAATGCTTTATTCTGGTTTCTCTCACTATAAATTATATTTAATGGGTACTCAGAGCTTTTCAGGAGGGTTTTAATGCATCTTGTTTCATCAGCGTGCTTCCTCTGCCTTTGGAGTGTGCCTTGCTGGAGGTGGTACAAACTTGTGCAAAGTCGACCTTCTGTGTGTTCATGCTGCCCTCCTTCGTCTGAGATGTCCTGCTGCTTGGCTTTTTTTCTTTCTTTTCTTTTCTTTTTATTGAGAGAGAGAGAGAGAAGCAAGATTTATATGTCAGAGACCTCCAGCCAGAGTGGCCTGGAGGGGCCTCCAGGAGAGGACATTCCCAAAGGAGCTGGTGGTAGTAGGGTTTTTAAGCACAATTTTGAGGGTAAAACTGTCAGTCAGTACAAGGTGGGGACAAACCCATCTCAAAAGTCCTGATTTGTGATCTTATTTACCCTGTCTGGCTTGCTCAAGATAAAATGAAGTGCCATCAAAAGGGTGGTGGGATTTGTAACTTGTTTTACAGTAAACTGGGAGCCCATAAGAGTGGAGTCGCCATTGCCTGCTTGCTTTTCTGTTTCTCTGATTAGTTCCCTAACCCAGTTCCTGAAGAAGCTGCTCTAAACTACCTTCCCTTTCTTAAAACTTCCACTTTGAGTTGACTGAGATTCGGATTCACTCACAGAGTACTGATATTAGTTAAATCTTGGTAACTGCTTTCCTCTCTTCCCTCTGTGGCCCCTCTCCACTACTCCTCACTGTTTCTGTTTTTATTTAACCCTCTTTCGTTTTAGACATGATTGAGTACCTATTTTTTTTCCAGAAACAGGTGAAAAGGTGGGGAGGATGATCTCTCCCTGGGAGAGACTGTGAATGATGTAGTGATAGGTATTTTCATTCCCTACCTCATTCGTTTCATACAGCTACCCTCAAAAGGTAGACGTCCTACATAAGGAAAGCTGGATGGTGAGAGGCTGCAGCTTGCCCAGCCTTTCAAAGCTAGGACTTGAATTCCGAGTCCTGAGACTCCTATCCTGGAGCCCTCTGGGGTGGCCCCTGCTGGCCTCCTGTTTTGTCAGCACAGCTATGCCTCTGAAACAGCCTCAGGGGAAGAGGGATCCTTCCTTCCTTCCTAAGTCCTACTGCTAGTGCCCTTCCCAGCTTCTGGATGTCTTTCCACCATAATTCAGTTCCACAGATTGCAGCATTGCTGTCTTCCTTTTTTTCAGGTTTCTGTTTCACACCTTTAAACATTCATAGTCCTCTTTGCAATTTTAAAATAACCCCTACATCCATCTGGCTATAGCATTTGTTCTATTTTTTCCCCCTCTTGTTCCTTTACCTTTGAAACCATAATATTCACCCTTTGGTTCCACTTACCCTAATTTGTTCTGTAATCTTGCCTCAAATTCTACCCCTCTAAGAAAACTGCTCCCAAAAAGGACACCTGTGACCTGTGACCTGTGACCAAGGGGCCTGTCTTAGTCACTGGTCTCCTTAACTGCACAAACCATTTGTTCTGATCAGTCTGGCCTCAAGGCAGTCTTTTCCTTTGGTCTGTGTGACATCATATAATGTTGGTTTTCGACCCACCACTTTTGCTGTTCTGCATTTTAGTCACTGTTGCCTCTTACTCCTGTTAACCTATTTCAGGATAAGTTGAGCACTGGGTTGGAACATGACCTCCCTCTACAGTGACTTCTTTGGAGAACTAAGTTGTAGCCTCAAAATTTTGGATTCTTTAAAAATGATTCTGAAATCTGAGTCTCCAATGCCATTCTCTCACCCAAGTTGAAGTATTTCTCTCCATTTGGATGTCCTGCTTGCAACCTGTACTCCCTTTCCCCCAGCCTAATTCATTGTCCTCTTCCTGTTTGCACCATTCATCACATTTGTTCCAGTCACCCACGTCTGATGTCCTCCCCTAACTAACTAGTGCTCCACAGAGGATTCTGTACACTGCCTGGGCCAGTTACTTACCTTGCTGTTAGGAGTTTTAGAATGGTAATTCTACCCAAGATTAGGGATAAAACCAAGGCTGAAAGTAAATAATGATTAATAATTAAGGTCTAGCGAGCAATCAAGTTGATTGAATTGCTTTTTAAATTTTACTTTGGTGGTACATTATTTTTTAAAATTAATAATGCCGATGTCTGTGCTTAACACTTTAATACAATTCTGTTTTGATTTGAAAGAAAAGTGTAGCTGAATGGGAAACACCCTGGATACTTTGCTGTAACTGGACCTTTCCCTGCCCTGCGACCTGTAGACTTCCCAGGCCTTCTCTAAAATGCTTAAGGGCTTCCTCTTTTATTTCAGTATGGTTCACCCTTCAGCCTCCAGCTCGTGTTCAACTTTCAGATTGGTCCATTTCTACAAGTGTGTATTAAACATTGTTCCAGATAATACCAGAAGGAGACACAGACTCTCCCTGCAAGGGCCTTAACACCTGGTAGACTCCAGGGGCAGCTTCCTGTATTCTCACAGAGCTTACCCTTTGTTACGTCCATCTCCTCTGTATCTTGCCATGTGTGCTCCTTGCTGTGGCCGCCTTTCTGTCACTTGAGTCTGCCTAATTAGCACCCAGGCCAGGATTTTACTACTGTACATCAAATGGTGCAGTTTCATCCATATTAAATTTTAGGAACACAAAGTGTTCAATAATGTTTAGGCTAGTTCCCTTTTGTCTAAATTAATAATTATTGGAAACTCCTTTAAAAATCCCCCAATAGACAGGAATTGTTTTTAAGACTATTCATTGTTTCCTTCTGCCTTAATTCCATCTGACAGTAAAAAAATGAGTGTTAGGGGACCGGCGCCATGGTGTAGTGGGCTGGGCCTCTGCCTGCGGCGCCAGCATCCTATATGGGCGCTGGTTCTGGTCCTGGCTGCTCTTCTTCCAGTCCAGCTCTCTGCTGTGCTCTGGGAAAGCTGTAGAGGATGGCCCATGTGCTTGGACCCCTGCACCTGCGTGGGAGGCCCGGAAGAAATTCCTGGCTCCTGGCTTGGATTGGCTCAGCTCTGGCAGTTGTGGCCATTTGAAGAGTGAACTAACGGATGGAAGACTCACATTCACTCTCTCTCTCTCTCTCTCCCTCCCTCTCTCTCCCCTTCTCTCCCCTTCTCTCTCCCTTTCTCTCCCTCTCTCTGCCTCTACCTCTGCCTCTCTGTAACTCTGCCTTTCAAATAAATAAGTAAACCTTTAAAAAAAAAAAAAAGATGAGGCTTAGAAAAAACTAAGGAAGTAAGGAATAGGAGAGGAATACTGGCATTAGCCTTTCCTGTGAAATGGTTTTCAATGAACACAACAGCATCCCATCACACTTTGCCTTCCACAGTCAACATCTGATTGTTTAATTGGATTAATCATACAAGGTCATTTGTATCTGTTTGATGGCATACTTGCAGTCAACATCTAATAAACAAAGCAGTGCTTTGAATATTGTGCAGTGTTGTAAGACAGTAAGTGTGCTGTTGACAGTGATTTTGAATATTTTTGGTTGCCAAGGGAAAATTTAGTTTAAAAGAAATAGGCATCAGCGCAGGCTTTCTTGGATAGCTTTGTTTTTTCAGACTGAGATACTCCAAAGCATTTTCAGAAAGTATTGTACATTACTTAAACTCTAAAGAAATGAAATCACTGTAAATCAGAGTTTTACTCTATGCTATATAAAAAGCATATTAGTAAGCCGGCGCCGTGGCTCAATAGGCTAATCCTCCACCTTGCGGCGCCGGCACACCGGGTTCTAGTCCCGGTTGGGGCGCCGGATTCTGTCCCGGTTGCCCCTCTTCCAGGCCAGCTCTGTGCTATGGCCCGGGAGTGCAGTGGAGGATGGCCCAGGTGCTTGGGCCCTGCACCCCATGGGAGACCAGGAAAAGCACCTGGATCCTGGCTCCTGCCATCGGATCAGCGCGGTGCGCCAGCTGCAGCGGCGGCCATTGGAGGGTGAACCAACGGCAAAAAGGAAGACCTTTCTCTCTCTGTCTCTCTCTCTCACTGTCCACTCTGCCTGTCAAAAATAAAATAAAAAAATAAAAAAATAAAAAAAAAAAAGCATATTAGTTTTAGATTAAGTGGTACTCTGTAGTTATAACTTCTGAGCATTTTTGCATCTTTTGTTCTTTGCAGCCCCTTTATACAATCAAAATGTAGTGTGTAGTTTTTAAAGATTTATGTTATTTAGTTGAAAGAGTTAGAGATCTTCCATCCACTGGTTCATTCCCCACAATGGCCAAAGCTGAGCTAGGTTGGAATCAGGAGCCAGGAGCTTCTTCTGGGTTTCCTACGTGAGTGCAGGAACCCAAGCACTTGGGCCAACTTCTGCTGCTGTCCTAGGCACATTAGCAGGGAGCTAGATCAGAAGTGGAGCAGCCAAGACTTGAACTGGTGCTCATATGGGATGCTGGCATCATAGGTGGCAGCTTTACCTGCTACCCCTCAGCGCTGGCCCCCATACTGTGTATTTCAAATTGTAGAGCTTTATAATTCTCTCTCTTTTTTAAAGATTTATTTATTTATTTGAAAGTCAGAGTTACACACACAGAGAGAAAGAGAGGTCTTCCATCCGCTGGTTCACTCTCCAATTGGCTGCAACAGCTGGAGCTTGGGCCATCTTCTACTGCTTTCCCAGGCCATAGCAGAGAGCTGGATCAGAAGTGGAGCAGCCAGGACTTGAGCTGGCACCCATGTGGGATGCCGGCACTGCAGGTGACAGCTTTACCCGCTACAGCACAGCGCCAGCCCCAAGCTTTATAATTCTTACGCCTCTGCCTTTGTGACTTATATGTATCATATGTTTAATTCATTGGCTGTCAGATCAATGATTAAAAATGTAACTCCTAAATTCTAACATGGTTTTGGTTTGAATACTGGCATCTTCACTTACTATACCTGTGACCATGGAACATCATTTAACTTCTGTTAGATTCTTCATCTCAGAATAAGGAGCAAAATGCTTATTTAATAAAGAGATGTATTTATTTCAAAGGCAGAGTGATAGACACGCACACACACACACACACACACACACACACAGCTTCCATCCTCTGGTTCACTATCCAAATGGCCACAACAGCTGGGATTGAGCCAGGCTAAAGCCAGGAGCCAGGAATTCCATCTGGGTCTCCTATATGGATGGCAGGAACTCAACTGCTTGAGCCATCTTCTGCTTCTTTCCAGGCTCATTAGCAGGGAACTGGATAGGCCGCAGAGTAGCTAGTAGTCGAACCAGCACTCCTGCATGGATGCAGGAGACCCAAGTAGCAGTGTAACCTGCTGTGCCACAGTGCTTGCCTCCAAAATCCTAACTAAACTAGTGTTCTGATGAGGATTAAGTGAGGTGATATATGAAATATGTGAATGTCATGTGTAAACTGTAACAAGCTGTATAGATAAAAGGTAATTATTTATAAAATATAAGAAAATAGTTTCTATGACTTTACTATAGTGATAAATATTCTTTTTTACAAATTTTATACACCCTTAATATTTAAATTGGTTAGTTTTGGTTTAGGCCTTAAGTATTAAATTATTATAACAAATGGTTTCTATATGTCCTTTGTGTTCTCAGAAACATGCGTGTGCTGTGCTGATTATTGTTCAGTAGCTATCTGTCTTGGGGGTTCTAATTCCGTGCTAAGCCAAGGTCAAATCACTAACCTACTGCCACTGAACATAGAGTTAGGAAGAGATGTGTACAAAGTAGCTCTTCATAGTTTGTAGGAGCTATAAAATATGTCAGTTTTTAAATGTATAAGCATACAGAAGTCATAATTAATGGATAAAGACTTTTGGACTATGTTAGATTTTTACAAACATTTAAGAATGCTATTGTAGAGTCTAAGAACCAGGAAATCTGAAGTCAGAAGCCAATTCTAATTCTAACTCTATACTTACTACCTCTTTGATCTTAGACAAGTCAGAATATATTTAAGGCTCAGTTTCATCAGTACAACAGGAAAAATGGGGGCATACATTTGGTTCAGCAGTTCAGACAGCGCTCTCATCCCATATGAGAGTGTCTAGGTTCAAGAGCCCTCTGTGCTTATGGTTCTAGCTGCCTGCTAATGCACACCCTGGGCAGCAGCAGATGACAGCTACAAGTATTTGGGTCCTTGTCACCCATGTAGGAGACCTGGATGGAGATCTTGACTCCTGGCTCTGTCCTGGCCCAGAACTGGCTGTTACAGGCATTTGGGAGCAGATGGAAGATATTCTCTCTCTCTCTCTCAAGTGAATAAAAATATATAAATGAGAAACAATTTTTAAAGTTAAGAAAACAGGTACCACAGTAGTATCTATGATACTAAAGTTAAATGAAGTAATTTGTATCCAGTGCTGATGTGGAGCTTTGATTAAAAAGTAAGAAAAAGACTAAAAAGTTAGTGGCTGTTGTCAACCTTGCATGGTACTAATTGCATGTCAAACTGAGTTTCATATTCATGTACTTTATTTTTCAGCTGATATGGGTTTTGCCAGATTATTCAATTCTCCACTAAAGCCACTAGCAGATTTGGATCCTGTGGTTGTGACATTTTGGTATCGTGCTCCAGAACTTTTGCTTGGTGCAAGGCATTATACAAAAGCCATAGGTAAGTTAGTCTAAAATGATTTACTTTCTTGGCATTGAAGTTTCATAAATACCAAATGCTATAATAATGAAGCTACTTGGTAAACACCACTTTATATGTCTTTGTAAAGGAACTATTGTCTTCTATGTTCATGTATTTTACATTCTAGCAGATTTGAAGTTAGAAGCCTATAGGAGGCCGGCGCCGTGGCTCAATAGGCTAATCCTCCACCTAGTGGCGCCGGCACGCCGGGTTCTAGTCCCGGTTGGGGCGCCGGATTCTTTCCCTGTTGCCCCTCTTCCAGGCCAGCTCTCTGCTGTGGCCCGGGAGTGCAGTGGAGGATGGCCCAAGTGCTTGGGCCCTGCACCCGCATGGGAGACCAGGAGAAGCACCTGGCTCCTGGCTTTGGATCAGCACGGTGCGCTGGCTGCAGTGCGCCAGCCGCGGTGGCCATTGGAGGGTGAACCAACGGCAAAAGGAAGACCTTTCTCTCTCTCTCTCTCTCACTGTCCACTCTGCCTGTCCAAAAAAAAAAAAAAAAAAAAAAAAAGCCTATAGGAAAATATAACTTTTAAAAGAAAAAAAAACATTTTCTTTGGGAGAATAAGAGACATCTAGCTTATCCTGTTGAATTGCTATGGAAACAATAACATGCAAATCTCATGTTTTTGCTTGCCTAGCTATTAATCGGAAGAATTGGAAAGAGTTTTAGAATTTCTTTCTGTAAAGGAAAACAGAAAAAGAGTAGTACAGTATTAGAGAAGACTCCTTCTATTTGGGCAAAAGTTAGTCACACCCTTTCCCAAGCAAGAAACAGTACGACTAATCTTTCTCTCACTGTTTCAGTTCCTGGAATGGCAGTTTATCCATCAAGGTAGGAAACAGAGTCTGGGGTGGTTAGCGATGCTCTTCAGTCAGAAAGCATGTGATACACCCCTTCTCTGTGGGACCTCGGGTCTGCTATAGAACAGATCTGAGATTTTACTGCCTGGTCACAACTGTGAATTGAGGGAGTCAGCAGGATAGCACTCTCCTCAAGTCTCGGATTTCTCTAACAGGAATAAAAAGAAAGTGTAGGGAGAGTAAATAGTAGTTGCTAGAATAAGGCTGGTTCTATAAGGTACGTGAATTTCCCAAGCACATTTCTTTAAATTTTCCTTTTGTTGAATACTTTATTTACTCAGTTAATAATACTTTTTTCTATGTTTAACTGCTTTTGTTGAATTCTATTTAATAAAACCACCAAGAGTGTAAAATCACTAAAAACAAACAAGTATGGAGCTGGCATTGTGGCTCAACAGGTTAAGATGCTGTTTGGGATGCCCATACTCATACCCAGAGTGTTAGTTGAAGTCCTGGCTGCTGTGCTTTTGAGCCAGCTTCCTACTCATGCATCCTGGGAGATGATGACCCATGTGCTCCTGGCTTCCACCTGACCCACCCATAGCTATTGCAGGCACTTAGATAGTGATAGTGAACCAGTGGTTAGCAGATCCCCCCCCACCCCGCCCCCTTAAATCTGTTAAATAGTTTAGGAAACACCAGGTGGTACTCATAGAACTACAAAGGAAGTGCTCACATTTGGAAAGATTAGATGGAACAGTAGTCTGTTCTTGGATTTAAAAAAAAAAAGCAAACAAAAATATAGTAACGTCCTCATTTATCAGGAGGTCTGATTTCTACAGAACATTTGTAGCTTTCTCCAGGGACTGAGATTCTAGCACAGTGCTGCAGCATTGTAAATATTTCATAAATACTGCTGGATGGTTTTGTTAAATTAGTGGGAAAGCTCTGGCAGTCTCAGGACTGTGTGGAACACCAGTATGTGTTGGGTGGTAAACGTGAGACTGACATCAAACCCTCACCCAGGCAGCTGAGCCCGTAGCAAAGCTTGGAGACTGCCAAGGCCATGCTGTTGGCAGTGACTCTGGACAGCTCCCCATGAAGGGTGTAGAAAGGAGAACCACAGACAAATGAAAAGCAGCCCCATGAATGAGGCGCCAACATCAGAGCCTAACTGTGTTGATATCCCAACAAGTGAACTCACAGTAGGCATGTATTTTTGAGACTTTTATAACTAAGTTTGCTTTTTCTGTTATTTGGGTGTCCCTACCCACAGTTGAGAACAGTCTGGTCCCTGAGATGATCTCAGAAGGCACCAGAGGATAGGAAGAGAGTGACAGTAAGCCAGGGGATGAAGGAATGTCTGGCAGATCACAGGTGGGGCTTTAGAACAGGTTTGATGGTGGAGAACTCGGGGCACATGGGCAGAAGGAGAAGCCGCATTATCAATAGAAACTCACATGCCTGGGAGTGGATGTTTAGTGTAGTGGTTAAGGCAGCCACTTCTCACATCAAGGGACCTAGGTTCAATTCCTGGCACTGGCTTCGGACTCCAGCATTCCTGCTAATGCAGACCCCACAAGGCAGCAGTGATGGCTCAAGATTGTGCTCCTGCCACCCGTGTCAGAGACCTGGATTGTGTCCCTGGCTCCCAGCTTTGGCCTAGACAAGCCCTAGCTGTTGTGGGCATTTGGGGAGTGAACCAGAAGATGGGGAAGTATGTTTTTTCTCTGTTTCTCAAATAAATAAAGATTTGTGAAAAATGGAATTAAAAAATAAGTTAAAAATATTCATATGCCTGGGACTGTCACCAACCACTAGTACAGTCTGTGATCCACAAGGGCTATTTCCACAAAGAAAAGGCCTTCTGCTGAATGAAATGACTCCCCACAAAAGCCTGTCATGTCCTCAGGGATCTTTGCAGCAGGTCCATGATAACGTACACCTGTAAGGATTCTGTTGTATGTGACCCTCACATCTGAGAAGAGTTCTGTGAATATTTTCTGATGAACTTTTCTGCTGTTCGAATGAAAATAGATGAGCTGTTTGGGAAGTAATGCTTATTGGGTATGAATTAAAAACCAACTATATTTTTTATTTCCTCAGGGGAAGGAGAGCTGCAATTGAATTTTAACCAACTTGCAACTTACTTGCTCAGTAAATGAGTGTTACCATGTAAAGATAAAAACATACTCATGGATTTTAAATTTTAGACAAGTCCCAATTATCTGTTCTGAATGGAAGTTAGAAGAAAGGATAAGAGAGAGGAAAAAGAATAATATCAACTCATCCTCACCTTCGTGCATACCTGGCCTGTGTTAGAATGAGTATTTCCTTTTTTTCTTTCTTTTTTAAGATGCATTTATTTATTTTAAAGGCAGAATCACAGAGAGGGGGAGAGATCTTCCATCTGCTAGTTCACTCCCCAGATGGCTACAACCAAGGCTGGGCCAGATCAAAGCCAGAAGCTTCTTCCAGGTCTCCCATGTAGGTGCAGGGCCCCAAACACTTGGACCATCTTCTGCTACTTTCCCAGGAGCATTAACAGGGAGCTGGATTGAAAGTGGAGCAGCCAGGACTCAAGCCGGCACCCATATGGGATGTTAGTGATGCAGGCGGCAGCTTAACTTGCTGTGTATGCCACAGCGCCTGCTCCAGGAGATGAGTGTTTGTATTCAGAGCATAGAAGAATGGAGAGTTTGATGATCTGATATCACTGGAGGTTTATAACATTTGGGGAGTAGGGGGGAGTGGGAGTGGTGGCACCAGTAGGGTTGGGATGTCTGTGTCAGGAGAACAAGTTGTGGTAGAGGAAAGAGACCTGGAAGGTACACACAAGTGGCTAGGGGTGGGTATTTGGGTATATGCCCACATCCCATATTGGAGTGCCTAGGTTTGAGTCCTTCCTCCACTTCTAGTCCAGCTTCCTGCCAGTGTGCATCTTGTGAGGCAGCAGGTGATGGCTCAAGTACCTGAGTCCTGCCACCCATGTGGGAGACCCAGATAAAGTTCTGGGCTCCTGGCTTTGACCTGACTGAGCCCTTGATGTTGCAGGCATTGAGGGAGTAAACTAGCAGAAGGAAGATCTGTCTGTCTCTTTCTCTCTGTGTGTGTGTGTGCTGCCATGCCTTTCATATAAAAATAAATAGTTTAAACTTGAAAGTTACAGGCTAGTATCAGGCAGGACATCTTAGAATGTAAGCTACTTGCTACTCTGAGGTTCTTTATTTTAGCAATTCACAGACAGATCTAGATCCTGGCTCTTGTTCTTTGAACATAGAACATTTGAGGAACTTGCATGAGCAGCAGCAGAAATTAGAAGCCTCAGTTGATTGTACTGTGGAGGCATCCAGGGTGAGAGAGATGGGACCATGAGAGAGGTAGCTAGGTGAGTGAGGGGCAAGAGCAAAAGTCAACTTGATGTGTAAGAAAGAAAAGAGGGCGGCGCCACAGCTCAATAGGCTAATCCTCCGCCTTGTGGCGCCGGCACACCGGGTTCTAGTCCCGGTCAGGGCACCGGATTCTGTCCTGGTTGCCCCTCTTCCAGGCCATTGGAGGGTGAACCAACAGCAAAAGGAAGACCTTCTCTCTGTCTCTCTCTCTCTCACTATCCACTCTGCCTGTCCAAAAAAAAAAAAGAGAGAGTCAAAAAGTAGGCACGGAATATTATGACTACTCTGTTGTGATGAATGGTCATGATGATGATGACTTTGCTGTGTCATTAAGGAAGATTAAGTTACATTTCATGGCATCTGGTGATGGCAGGTCACAGTGTAATATAATATGGCTTTTTAAAGCCTATGTTCCCATTATCTTGAAGCCAGTTTATATGAAAGGAAACCATTCCTGGATGGGATCACAAAAGTGAGACATTACTGTCTGATTTTTTTTCTCTTTAGCAGTGTGTTTTATGAAATGGCATACTGATGCTTACTGTAGCTAATGGATATGATAAACTTTTTTCCTATTTAGTTTATCTACTTCATTTGATGGGCTATTAAACACTAGATTTTATATATATATATATATGTATGTATGTGTGTGTGTATATATATATATATTTAAGATTACACCATAGTCCTTGCATTATTGTTTTTTCTTTTTAAGAAAATACTTGGAGGCTGGCACAGTAGGCTCAGCTTCCACCTGCGGCACCAGCATCCCATATGGGCACTGGTTCTAATCCTGGCTGCTCCTCTTCCAATCCAGCTCCCTGCTTATGGCCTGAGAAAGCAGTGGAAGATGGCCATACCTCTAAAATAAATAAATAAAATCTTAAAAAAAGAAAAAAGAAATAAAATACCTGGGCTTGATGTCGTAGCGTAATGGTAAAGCTGCCGCCTGCAATACCAGCATCCTGGTTGCTCCACTTCCAATCCAGCTCACTGCTAATGGCCTGGGAAAGAAGCAGAAGGTGGCCCAAGTGCTTGGGCCCCTGCACCTATGTGGGAGACCCAGTTGAAGCTCCAGGTTCCTGGCTTCAGCTTGGCCACCCCTGGCTGTTGTGGCCATTTGGGGAATGAACCAAGGGATAGAAGATCTTTCTCTCTACCTCCCCCCACCCTGTAGTTCTGTCTTTCAGAGCAATAAAGAAATATTTTTAAAAAATTACTTACTAAATAACATTTGGGTGGGCAAGCATAATATATTCATCTGTCTCACAAAAGTTAATTCATTCGTGAGTCCACTGTCGTGGCATAGCAAGGTTAAGCCTCCACCTCTGCCACTGACATCACATAAGGACACTGGTTCAAGACCTGGCTGTTCCACTTCCTATCCAGCTCCCTGCTAATGTGCCTGGGAAAAGCAGTGGAGAATGGCCTAATTGCTTGGGCCCCTGCACCCACATGGGAGACTCAGATGAAGCTCCTGGCTCCAGTCTGGCCTAGTCCCGGCCATTGCAGCCATTTTGGGAATGAACCATCAGATGGAAGATCTTACTCTATCTCTTTCTGACTCTGACTCTGCCTTTCAAATAAATAAAAAATAAATCTTAAATAAGTTAATACATTCATACACTCAGCAAAGCATTGTAAATATATTATTGTGTTCTTAGCATCTATGTTGCTGTCTTTTGGTTTGTAAAATCCAATGGAATAATCTATAACTGATGATTTTCAAGAATTCATGAAGTATTTAAAGGTGCCTGACTTCATGCAGGGTTTGGGAGTGAGGGGCAGGCAGCAGCTAGTGGACATGGTTTGGGTGAGCATTGTGTGTACTGCTTTCTCGCCATGCTTGTGTGTACTGTGTTGTTCATCGGCTTCTAGACCTTGCAGTTTGTTGAAGGAACTGTTGAATGTGGTAGTCTTTAAGGCAAAAGATGACTTTTGCCAAATCCTTTTTTGTGGTCTGCACTAACTGGGTCGAAACTTAGAAATTCTGCTCTATGATTGCTCTAAAGGAAATTATATGACTGTATCTGAAGATGTTATTTGAGTCTACTTGAGCTGAGTGTTACACTGTGTATTAGACCAAAACATTGAACACTTCAGTGATGGAATTTAAAGTAAATGTTTTTTATTTGCCTTTCAGCCTGTTGCATGATGATACAGCTATTTCAAATCACATACGCTATTTCTGTTCTCTTAATGTATGTATTGTACTTTGTATATTGCTTTACTGAAAATTATCTTCATATGTAGGTTGAGATTACACCTTGGAATTATAATCAAGGAAATACAGAAATGTAGACAAAAATCTGTTTTTCTTCCTTTATAGACATATGGGCGATAGGTTGCATATTTGCTGAATTGTTGACTTCAGAACCTATTTTTCACTGTCGCCAGGAAGATATTAAAACAAGCAATCCCTTTCATCACGATCAACTAGATCGGATATTTAGTGTCATGGGATTTCCTGCAGGTAATTTATTTTCCTTTTCAAAATCACGTTTTGAGTCATATTTCAAAAACATCCTAAGTATATTTTAAAACTAAAATAATTAGTTTCCTCTAACAATATTCAATTTTTTTTTGTAAGATAAAGACTGGGAAGATATTAGGAAGATGCCAGAATACCCTACACTTCAAAAAGACTTTAGAAGAACAACGTAAGTAATTCCACATTGTCTTAGTCTCTTTGGGCTGCCATAAAAATAACATTAGACTGGGTAATTTATAAATAGCTGAAATCATTTCTCACAGTTCTGGAGGCTGGTAAGCGGGGGGCTCAAGGCTCCAGCAGCTTCAGTGTCTGGTGAGGGCTGCTGTCTGCTTCCAAGTTGACACCTTGTTCCTAAACTTCCCTGCTGCAGGCAGAAGGGCAAAAGCAACAGATACTGTGTGCAGCCTCTCCTGTTTTTTTGTTTTGTTTTGTTGTTGTTATTGTTGTTTTGACAGGCAGAGTTAGAGAGAGAGAAAGGTCTTCCTTCTTGGTTCACCTCTCAAATGGCCGCTACGGCCGGCGCTCTGCGCTGACCTGAAGCCAGGAGCCAGGTGCTTCCTCCTGGTCTCCCATGCTGGTGCAGAGCCCAAGCGGAGAGCTGGACTGGAAGAGGAGCAACCAGGACAGAACCAGCGCCCCAACCGGGACTAGAACCCAGGGTGCCGGTGCCGCAGGCGGAGGATTAGCCTAGTAAGCCACAGTACCGGCCTGCCTCTCCTGTTTAAAACAAAGAGAAACCAGCCAATCCCATTCCCGAGTGACCTGATCACCTACCTGAGCTCTGCCTTCTAATAGTATTGCATTGCATGTTAAGTTTCACTTTGGCTTTTGGAAGGGACACAAACAACCCATAGTATGTGTTAATTATAGGTAGTAACCTCCATGGGAATATCTACATCTTTTTAAAATCCAAATGTAGGGGTGGGCAATTGACTTGGCACTTCAGACACTGGTTATGATGTGCACCGCTAGATCAGTTCAGTTGCTGGTTCTGGCTCCTGACTCCAGCTTTCTGCCAATACGGATGCTGGGAAGCAACAGGTGATGGTTCAAGTAGTTGGGTCCATACCACCCATGTGGGAGACCTGGTTTGAGCTTTGTCCTGGTCATGCTCTGACTTTTGTAGACATTGAATGAACCAGCAGCAAGTGTCTCTTTCTCTCAAATAAATTTTTAAAAAGGAGATGTAGATTATGATTTAAACCAGAAATTAGATTCTAGTGGTATCTTAGTTATGCCTAGGATTTCAAGATTCCAGCTACTGTTAACATATATGCCAGGTTTAGGCTATAGTATTTAAAAAGTTTTAAGAATTTGATAGCAAATAGGTAGTTTAAATCCGTATTTTGTTTTAGCATGATAAGGGTTCAAGGTCACACCTATGGTTTATCTTTGAGTAAAGATAAACTGGTGACAGAAAGGCTGAACTGGGAAACCAGAAGGGATGGCAGAAGGTAGCACCCATGACTTGAGGTCTGAGGAGGAGATGCTGGAGGAGTTGTGGGCACCAAGAGAAATGAGAGGAGCTCATTGTAAACAGGCACACCTAGATGGGGAACTGGAGGAGGTTTTCTGGGCCAGCCTGCCAACAAGATGTCAGGACAGGATGGCTTGTGGGAACAAAAGCAGACCTGGTACCAAGACGTCAGGACTGGCACTGATCCTTCTGGTCCCTCATTCCGCCAGTCCAGGGTGAGGGCCTTTGCTTCTGTTCATCTTTTTTTTTTTTTTTTTTTTAAGATTTATTTATTTATTTGAAAGTCAAGAGTTACACAGAGAGAGAAGAAGAGGCAGAGAGAGAGAGAGGTCTTCCATCCGCTGGCTCACTCCCCAAATAGCCACAATGACAAGAGCTGTGCCAATCTGAAGCCAGGAGCCAGGAGCTTCTTCCAAGTCTCCCACGTGGGTACAGGGTCCCAAGCACTTGGGTCATCTTCTACTGCTTTCCCAGGCCATAGCAGAGAGCTGGATTGGAAGTGGAGCAGCCGGGACTTGAACCAGCGCTCATGTGGGATGCCGGCACTGCAGGCAGCAGCTTTACCCACTAAGCCACAGCACCTGTGCCTCTGTGCCTCTGTCCATCATTAAACTCAGCACTGATAGCAGGATTCTGTCCTGTGCTCTCTTCTTGCTCTAGATAATTTTTCCAGGCAGACTGCATGATTTTGATGGCCACAGAATCGGATACTTCCCAATTTATATATCCCATTTATCTAATTGCTGTATAGAATGCCAACTTGAATATTCTGTAAGTGCTTGAAATTAAAACTGAACTGGAGTCTGTCCTCCAAGACCTCTCTTCCCGCTGGCTTTCCGGTCTTGGGAAATGACTCTGACTCACTTTGTTGCTGGAGCCAAAGCCTGAGCTGTCCTCCTCTTCAGTGTCTCCCTGTACCTTCAGCATCCAGACAGTGAGCCAATCTCATCAGTACTCTTTTTCTGAATGTCCTTTGAATCAGTAAATCAATCTTCCTTTCTTTCAGTTTTCTCTCTTAAGATTTCTTTCTTAAGATTTATTTATCTGAAGGGCAGAGTTACAGAGAGGCAAAGAGAAAAAGAGAGCTTCCATCTGCTGGTTCACTCCCCAAATGGCTGCAACAGCCAGAGCTGTGCTGATACGAAGTCAGGAGTCTGGACAGGAGCTTCTTCTGGGTCTCCCATGCCGGTGCAAGGGCCCAAGGACTTGGGCCATCTTCCACTGTTTTCCCTGGCCATAGCAGAGTTGGATCATAAATGGAGCATCCAAGACTCTAACCGGCGTCCCTATGGGATGCCGGCACTGTAGGTGGTGGCTTTATCCACTAAGACACAGCGCCAGCCCCTAATCTTTCTACTTCTGTCCAGTTGCAGTCCACACCACCACTGTCATCTGCCCCAGAATCCTGCCATGGCCTCCTGGGTGCTGTTTCTTCCTTCAGTCTCCACTCCAGCTAACTGCAGAGCAGTCATTGTCAGAAGCGTATTTGATCACGTCACTTTCCTAGTTGCTGTTCATCTGCCGTTGCTCTGAGCTTCTTCTTATGACTCACAACATTGGTCCGTCTCCTAAAAACTCTCTAGCTGCTGGAGCCTTGATGTTGTGGATTTCTTCTTTGAATTTATTTTGTAAAGATGTATTTATTTGAAAGGCAGAGTGTCAGAGAGATCAGTCTTCTATCTACTATGTTCACTTCCCAAATGCCTGCAACAGCTAGGGCTGGGCCAGGCTGTAGCCAGGAGCCTGGAACTCAGTTCAGGTCTCCCATCTGTACTTGAGCCATCACCTGCTGCCTCCCAGGGTGCACATTGATTGGAAGCTGAACGGGGACTCAACAGTATGGCATGCAGGCATACCACCCCAACCGTTGGCCTAGCCACTGTGCCAGACACTCGTCCTGTGCATTTCTGCAAGTGCTTCAGACACCCTAAGCTTCCTTTGGCCTCTGCATTTTTACACATGCTGTTCCTCCAGCAGCACCCGTCCTCCCACTCCTTTCTGCTTACCTCTGGGTCTTGTTTCCCCTGACCTTCCAGGTTGAGGTAGGTGCACCCCCTGCACTCCTGCTGCATCCTGCTTCTCTGGGTACTGATCACCACACTGCAGTTGGAGTTTGAATTCTGTCTGACTTTCCCTCTCGATAGGATGGATCATCTTTACCCACCAATATACGTTTCCTTGGGTCCTAGCTCATAGTATGTGTTCATTAATTACTTGTCAAATAGATACTGAAGGAAAATGGCTCAATAATAGAGAAGACAGTCTAATAATATAAAAAGTGGAAAAATTAATGAAGGTACTTAACATTTAACTTAGTAAAGACCAAGTGAGAGATTTTACATGCAACAGGAGTGTTTACAATAACCAAAATAAAATGTAGTTTAGTTAGGAGAGTAGTAAGAAAATTCCAGAGATAAAAGCTCATCCTTTTTTTTTTTTAATAAAGATTTATTTATTTATTTGAAAGGCAGAGTTGATCAGGAGAGAGAGAGAGAGAGAGAGATATCTTAACATCTACTGGCTCACTGCTCAAATGGCCACATGGCCAGGGTCGGACTAGACTGAAGCCAGGAGCCAAAAGCTTATTCCAAGTCTCCCACATGGGTACAAGGGCCCGAGCACCTGGGCCATCTTCCGCTGCTTTCCCAGGCACATTAGCAGAGAGCTGAATTAGAAGTGGAGCGTCTAGGACTTGAACTGGCACCCATGTGGGTGCCATGGCACCCATGGCTTTATCTGAGCCAGCCCCTTAGCTCATCCTTCCTAAGCAAACAGAAGTCTACCCACATAGAAGCAGGCTGCTAATACACAGAACAAGGGGAAGGAGGGGTTCATTAAAAATTAGCTAAATCTAGTGTAGTACTTAAAGGCCACTCAAGTGAAATATGTGAAGAAAAATATTCTAGTGAGTGTTTTTCAAGTGATAAAAAGTAAAAGAAAAATAATTAGTTTTTATTATCTCAGGTTAACAAAAACAATAAAATTTTTCTCCAAATGAATTGGAAACTCTTTCCATCTGCATCTGTCCCTCTCTATGTAACTCAGCCTTTTAAGTAAATAAATAAATCTTTAAAAAGGAGAGAGGAGTGGGCATTGTGGCGCAGTGGATTAAGCCGCCACCTGTGATGCTGGCATCTTATGTGAGTGCCAGTTCGAGTCCTGGCTGCTCCACTTCTTTTTTTTTTTTTTTTTTTTCTCTCTCTTTTTTTTTTTTTTTTTTTTTTTTTTTGACAGGCAGAGTGGACAGTGAGAGAGAGAGACAGAGAGAAAGGTCTTCCTTTTGCCGTTGGTTCACCCTCCAATGGCCGCCGCGGCCGGCGCACCGCACCGATCCGATGGCAGGAGCCAGGAGCCAGGTGCTTTTCCTGGTCTCCCATGGGGTGCAAGGCCCAAGCACCTGGGCCATCCTCCACTGCACTCCCGGGCCACAGCAGAGGGCTGGCCTGGAAGAGGGGCAACCGGGACAGAATCCGGCGCCCCGACCGGGACTAGAACCTGGTGTGCCGGCGCCGCTAGGCGGAGGATTAGCCTAGTGAGCCGCGGCGCCGGCCCCTGGCTGCTCCACTTCTGATCCAGCTTTCTGCCTATGCATCTGGGAAAGCAGCAGAAGATGGCCAAAGTGCTTGGGCCCTTATACCCATGTGGGAGACCCATGGAGTTCTTGGCTCCTGGCTTTTATCGCAGCCATTCTGGAAGTGAACCAGTAGACGGAAAGTTGTTGTTGTTGTTGTTGTTTTAAGATTTATGTATTTATTTGAAAGAGAGAGAGAGAGAGAGAGAGCTCTTCCATCTGCTGGTTCGTTCCACAGATGACTGCAGTGGCCAGGGTTGGGCCAGGCTGAATCCAGGAGCTTCTTCACTTGGGCCATCCTCTGCTGCTTTTCCCAGGTGCATTTAGCAGGGAGCTGGATCAGAAGTGGAGCAGCTGGGGCTCAAACCAGTGCCTGTATGGGATGCCACATTACAGGTGGCAGCTTTACCTGCTGTACCACAACACCAGCCCCAAGGATGATCTCTTTGTCTTTCTCTCCCTCTCTCTTTAACTCTACCTTTCAAATAAGTAAATAAATCTTAAAACAAACAAAACTTGGGGCCGGCACCATGGCTCACTTGGCTAATCCTCTGCCTGTGGCGCCGGCACCCCAGGTTCTAGTCCTGGTTTGGGGGCCGGGTTCTTGTCCGGGTTGCTCCTCTTCCAGTCCAGCTATCTGCTGAGGCCTGGGAAGGTAGTGGAGGATGGCCCAAGTGCTTGGGCCCTGCACCCGCATGGGAGACCAGGAGGAAGCACCTGGTTCCTGGCTTCAGATCAGCGCAGCGTGCTGGCCGTAGCAGCCATTTGGGGGGTGAACCAAAGGAAAGGAAGACCTTTCTCTCTGTCCTCTCTCACTGTCTATAACTCTACCTGTCAAATAAAAAACAAAAACAAAAACAAGACTGAATTGGGAAGAATGACATTAGAAGTTTCTGTAATGTGGGGGCCAGCAATGTGGTGTAGTAGGCTAAGCCTCCACCTGCAGCAGTTCGGCATCCCATACAGGCACCAGTTCTCGTACCAGCTGCTCCTCATCCCATCTGCCTCTCTGCTAACGGCCTGGGAAAGCAGTGAAAGATGGCCCAGCTGCTCGGGCCCCTGCACCCACGGGGGAGACCTGAAAGAGGCACCTGGCTTTGGATGGGCCCAGCTCCGGCCGTTGCAGCCACTTGTTGAGTAAACCAGCAGATGTAAGACCTTTCTTTCTGTCTCTTCCTCTCTCTGTCTGTAACTCTACCTCTCAAATAAATAAATAAAATAAAAAAATTTCTGTAATATTTCTTAAGTGTCACCTCTAATTAGCTCATTTGAAAGCAAGGTGAAGGCCAGCGCTGCGGCTCACTTGGATAATCCTCCGCCTGCGGTGCCGGCACCCTGAGTTCTAGTCTGGTTGGGGCGCCGGGTACTAGTCCTGGTTGCTCCTCTTGCAGTCCAGCTCTCTGCTGTGGCCTGGGAGGGCAGCGGAGGATGGTCCAAGTGCTTGGGTCCCTGCACCCACATGGGAGACTGGGAGGAAGTACCCAGCTCCTGGCTTCGGATTGGTGCAGCACTGGCCGTAGTGGCCATTTGGGGAGTGAACCAATGGAAGGAAGACCTTTCTCTCTCTCTCTCTCTCTCACTGTCTAACTCTGCCTAGCAAAAAAAAAAAAAAAAAAAGGTGAAAATAGATTTATAAATCATTTAGTTGACTTTATAAAATTGGATGTTCAAATAAACATATACTGATAAAATGTTTACGAAGTATATAAAGAGGATGAATTTGAAATTTGTACAGCTCCTAAACTGTAGCAAACCTGGAAGAGGATAATTCAGAAATGACAGACATTGAGCTTAACTTTAATACTGGGAAAGCGAAAAAGAAACCATAGTGAAAACTGGGCAGTAGGACGTGGCAAATTCAAGACCTTTTATGGCAGAAGCAAGTGGCCAGCATGTGGCATTAACCCAGGTCAACAGTGAATTCAACATGACAACCAAGGGTTAGTGTTGCTGGTGCAGCATGTTAAGCTGCCACTTGGGAAGCCTGCACCCCCCCCATTGGATTGTTGGTTCAAGCCCCAGCTACTCTGCTTCCAGTTCAGCTCCCTGCTAATATGCCTGGGAAGCAGCAGAAGGTGGCTCAAGTACTTGAGTTCCTGTCACCACGTGGGAGACCCAAATAGAGTTCCTGGCTCCTAGCTTTGGCCTGGCCCAGCCTGACTGTTTGCATTTGGGAAGTGAACCCAATGGATGGAAGATCTCTCTCTCCCTCTGTCATTCTTCTGCCTTTCAGATAAATAAATCTAAAAACAAAAACATAAAGACCAAAGACATGTAGACAGACTCCTTTTCTACATAAACTTTTTTTTTTTTTTTGACAAGCAGAGTTAGACAGTGAAAGAGAGAGACAGAGAGAAAGGTCTTCCTTCCATTGGTTCACCCCCAAAATGGTTGCTACGGCCGGCGCGCTGCGCCGATCTGAAGCCAGGAGCCAGGTGCTTCCTCCTGGTCTCCCATGCGGGTGCAGGGCCCAGGCACTTGGGCCATCCTCCACTACCTTCCCATGCCACAGCAGATAGCTGGACTGGAAGAGGAGCAACCGGGACAGAAAATGGTGCTCCAACCGGGACTAGAACTCGTGGTGCTGGCGCCACAGGCGGAGGATTAGTCAAGTGAGCCGCGGTGCCAGCCCATTTCTACATAAACTTTAAGGTTTCTTCCCATTATCTAACCCAGTGGCTACCTTGCCCTTAAAAAAATTCTGACATTGGAGGATTTAAAATAAATATGTGTGTGTGTATACATACAAAAATGTATATATTTTAAATTATATTTAATATAAATATTGTATATATTTTTGAATGAAAATATGTAGCTGGCAAGGGTGTGCTAAAAGGGGCAGTCATACTTGTATGCTGCTGGAGAAAAAGGGAGCTTCATCCTCAGACTTTGCTGTACCTACATATCACCCTGACGCTTAGCAAAAATGTGGATTCTGGAGTGGGCATTTGGTACAGTAGTTAGCATGCTGTGTCACATATCAGAGTGCCTGGGTTCTAGTCCTGGCTCTGTGTCCTATTCCAGCTTCCTGCTAATGTGTACTCTGGGAGGTAGCAGGTGATGACCCGAGTACCTGGGTTCCTGCCACCCAGATGGGAGACCTTGGGGAGTTCCAGGCTCCTGGCTTCAGTCTGCTTTAGCCCTAGGTGTTGTGGGCATTTAGGGAGTAAATCAGCAGGTAGAAGACTGTGTGTGTGTGTGTGTGTGTGTGTGTGTGTGTGTGTGTCTTGTTTTTCTCTCTACCTTTTAAATAAATTCTAAAATAAATAAAATAGTTTAAAATTGGGATTTCTGAGTCAGGAGCTAGAGTGGGGCCTGAGAATCTGCACTTTTGATGCAGGGTCTCAGGTAATTCTCATGCTACTACCTAGGAGGGCCTTGTTTGTGTATTGAAATTCAAGAACACAAAAATATGGCTTAGAAATGTACATGACCTTTGACTTGATCATCCTAGGAATTTATCCTGTGGAAATTAACCAGAGCTGCCACAAATGGCTGAATACTATATGCCAAGATGTTGTTAAGCCCTTTACCCACATTTTCTCCTGTCATCTTCATAGTAAACCAGTAGAGTAGATGAGGAAGCAGAGGATTTCATAGGGGTTAACTAACTTATCCAAGGTCACACAGCTGTGAATGACCAGGCCAGAGTCCAGAGTGGGTCTCTGATTCTCACCTGCAGCACAGCACTTTCTGCCTACCACGTGCTCCAGATTTCCCTGCAGGGACGTACATTTCACCACTGTTGTGAAGCAGCGATGTCCGCGCCAGGGGAGGCATGCAGCCATTCAAAACACCAAGTTTTAGGAGCATTTCCAAGGGAAAATGGTGGTGAAACAATATTAAGTGAAAAAAGTTATGACTGTAATTGTAGGGTTCTAGTTTTATAAAAGCAAAGAATCCAGCTGTTTATATGTGTGACTGTGTAGAAAAAATGCCAAAGGGTGGTTATTACTGAATAGTTTAATTTAATGTGTGATTTTAATTTTCTTCATGATTTTTCTGTATTCTATAATTTTTTACTATAACCAAATTATTTATTTTAGATCTTTTAAATTTGAAATTCACATATAGAAACAATAAAAGTGATGAAAGTATGATATATAGTATATTTGGAATAATAAACGAGTACCCCTCAGCTTACCTTTCAACCTAACAAGTAGTGTATTTACTAAGATTACCAGAGTACTTTGTGTGCCCTCCCTCCCTGTTTATAGCTGTTCCACAGGGTAGGCTCGGACTTTTCCGCATTCGTGTTTATCTTCCACCTTTTCCATTATAGTTTTATTCCATATGTGAGTATCTGTAAATATGATTGTTCAGTTTTCTTTGTATTGGTACTTTGTCTAAGTGTTTTCTTCTGCAGCTTTCCTTTTCCCCTCTCAACTTCGTGTATTTATTTTTTAAGATTTATTTATTTGAAAGTCACAGTTATGGACAGAGAGGGAGAAACAGAGAAAGAGAGAGATCTTACATCTGGTGGTTCACTCCTCAGATGGCCACAATGACCAGTGCTGGGCCAGGCCAAAGCCAGGATCCAGGAGCTTCATCTGGGTCTAAATCTGCTGCTTTCTCAGGTGCATTAGCAGGACGCTGGATTGGAAGTGGATCAGCCCAGAATCGTACCAGCACCCATATGGAATGCCAGTGTCATTGTGGCAGCTTTACCTGTTGTACCACAGCACCAGCCTCACATGTATTCATTCTTAACCATGACGTTCCATGCTGTGAATATATTATGATTTACTCATTTTTCAGCTGATAAACATCTGCGTTGTTTATAATTTTTCCATTATAAGACTATTGCTGAAAACTTTATCATATATCTTGATATACATGTACTAAAACATCTCTTAGACTGGAGTTTAACACACAATTATTATCCAAAGTAATTATAACAATATAAACTCTCAGATGTAATGTGTAACAATTCCTGTTGCTTTGCACATTTGCTAGTATCTGGTAATATATTCCTTTTTAATCAGAGCAAACAATGGCTTAAACATATGCCTTATTGGAAAACCAGCCTTGGAACTTTTCATTAGCAAATAGACATTGCGTGAGTATTCACAGTGACATGGGATTGTCTGTGTTCTTACAGGTACGCCAACAGCAGCCTCATCAAGTACATGGAGAAACACAAGGTCAAGCCAGACAGCAAAGTGTTCCTGTTGGTGGGTGCTCCTCTCCTGTGCCGAAGCCTGGTCCTGCCAATGAGAGGAATTGAGGGGATGCTGGGACAAAATTATTTTTCTGTTGAGATGTCACCCTTGACTTCTAGTCTGATTTTTTTTCACAATGACTTATTGTAGGAGAAAAAAATCTTAAAAGAGCTTTAGTGCTGATGGTTTCTACCAATTTCAAATAAATTCGGAGACCTTAAAGTTCATGGAAAATGCTATTATGAGAAAACTCTGCATGAATTTTAATTTTTTGCACCAAGATTAACTTACCTTCTAGTCCATTTCCATGAACTTCTTGAAGTTTCTGCACATGTATACTAATTATGCAGTGGGCTATCAAAATGTATTTGATATTAACGCTCTTAGGCATTAATATTAAGATACTTCAAAACTTGTGGGAAAATAGAGTTTAAAAGCATGAGCTGATTTTGGTGAAGACAATGTTTTTCACAGTATGTAGAAAAATACATATTATGAAAAAACTATATGATTTTCAAAATTTTTTTTTCACCAAAGTCAACTCAGTTTTTTAATCCCGTTTTCCATAAACATTTTCAAGTGCCCACCTGCAGAAGTCAAATCGCTGCCTTGTGAATAAGCATTTCATGTGCTGTATCGATGTCTTCTGTGTTCCTGCAGCTTCAGAAACTGCTTACCATGGACCCAACCAAGAGAATTACCTCCGAGCAGGCGCTGCAGGACCCCTACTTTCAGGAGGACCCATTGCCAACACTAGAGTACGTGGCCACCCCTGCGGCCCTGGCTCGGGTTGAGGGTGGCAGATGGCGGCTGAGAGCAAGGGAAGCGCTTGCTGCAGAAGCTTCAACTTTCTCCATTAATTGGAGCCCAGAGAAAAACTGCTGAAGAGAAAGTTCTGGAATTTTGAGACAGGCAAAGCTATAGAAAGGTGTAAATGAAAACTGAAGTTTTAGGGATGATCATTAATCTGTTACGGCTGATGGATCAGCTGAGAGCAGCTGAGCAGGGAACTGAGCAGTTGCGGTTTCGTGTCCCACAGCACGTCCACTGCCTGCGGCCTCATTCTGCACAGCTGTGTGCTTTGTGCTTGCGTTTATATGAGGTGCGGTTTTTGTTGAGAAAAACAATTTTTTTTCTTGTTGAAGCAGATATAAACTCAGGCTTTTTCTTTTGGTGGAGAAGAAGGTAGTGTGGGGGAACTTCCATGTCATAACATGTCAGCCGTTTAGCTGCAGTGCAGATTTGAAAGTGAAAGCGGCAGTGAGAGCAAACTCTTTTTTTTTTTTTTTTTTTTTTTGACAGAGTTAGACAGTGAGAAAGAGACAGAGAGAGAGAAAGGTCTTCCTTCTGTTGGTTCCCTCCCCAAATGGTCGCTACGGCCGGCATGCTGCACCAATCCGAAGCCAGGAGCCAGGTGCTTCCTCCCATGCGGATGCAGGGCCCAAGCACTTGGGCCATCCTCCACTGCCTTCCCAGGCCACAGCAGAGAGCTGGACTGGAAGAGGAGCAACCGGGACTAGAACCGGCACCCATATGGGGTGCCAGCGCCGCAGGCAGAGGATTAACCTAGTGAGCCACGGTGCTGGCCCCAGACAGCAAACTTTCAAACAACTCATGTTCTTGTTTCAGCAAGTGGTGTGGGAAGCATAGGCATTCGCAAACACCATGAACAGACAGAGAGTAGGGAATAAGTTAAGGAAGAAAACATGGAATTGTAGATGAGCAAAGCAATGAGATTGTACATTTTAGGTCATGGCATATCACGTGTCTTTTGTTTGTTTACGCTGTAGTGTGTTTGCTGGCTGCCAGATTCCATACCCCAAACGGGAATTCCTTAATGAAGATGAACCAGAAGAGAAAGGTGACAAGGTAGGAACAGTGTGGCTTGTTTTCAGTCTAGAGTCAATGAGGTAAAATGATAATTTAGGGAAGTATAACTTAATAATTCCTGTATATTTAACTGCCTTTTACTAAACTAAGGATAGGTTTCTGGTATTTTCTGTAGAAGCTTGTAGGTGTGAAGATTGTACATGTACCCTGAAGGTACAAATACAGTCTTCCAGATAAATGAACCTGCTGGTTTTTCCAGGGCCTGCTCTGTTCCCTGATTCCCCAGTTCTTGCTTGTTGTTTGTTCGCTGTCGTTAACATGGTGTTATGCAGGTTGGCTTTTGCAGATATCACTGTTTTCTTGCATTAACTGGATTTATTCTCCACCACCTCGCACTCCCCTGCTTATGCAAAATCATGATCAAAGAGACTTCTTACGGCTGTTCTAATGAGTGCATGACTGTTTCCTGTGTACCTCACAGCCTTCAGTGAACTCTGAGCTGATTTGGTGGCTGATTGTGCAATCCAGAGGGTGCGTCCTGTTTGGAGCCCCAGGTTGCTGGCCTTTGGGAGTGCTGTACCCTGTGGCTGCTCCCCTCTGCAGTCACACTGATTTCTTTAGTGCCAGCAATCACGTGTGCCTGTCTGGTAAGGAAAGATATATGTTAATTTGGTCTCATACCAGACTTGCTTTTCTTCCTTTAAAGAACCAGCAACAGCAGCAGAACCAGCATCAGCAGCCCACAGCCCCTCCCCAGCAGGCAGCCGCCCCTCCACAGGTGCCCCCACCACAGCAGAACAGCACCCAGACCAATGGGACTGCAGGAGGGGCTGCGGCCGGGGTCGGCGGTGCTGGAGCAGGGCTGCAGCACAGCCAGGACTCCAGCCTGAGCCAGGTGCCTCCAAGCAAGAAGCCCAGGCTGGGGCCTTCAGGCGCCAACTCTGGTGGGCCTGGCCTGCCCGCGGATTATCAGGTACTCCCCTGAGTTTTGCCCTTGTGAGTGCTCTTGTGAAATGGGAAATCGATTTAAATCAGGTCCTTTTAGAGCGAGCAGTTTTCCACTTTGCCATATGACTGTGTCAGCTGTTTCATCCTGTGTCTCAGGTGCTATAGAAAGGTGAAATTTGTCCTGAAATCTCATTTCATGTCATTGCAAGTGAGTTTGTCTCTTGACTTCTTCATCCCGCGCACCTACCTTGAGGAGGGAAGGTAGGAGGCAGATACCCTGCTCCTGCCCCCTTAAAGAAACATTTCTTATTTTACCCTTACAGCTGTGTGTCAGCCTTGGATCAGAACAGGACACCTAGATGAGCACTGGAAAGGGAGGGGGTGGTCGCTAACTGCACAAAGTTAGACGCATTCCTAGGATTCTTCAGAAAGATGGGCTCCCACTGGAAGAAAATAACCAGTTAAGTAGTCACAGAGATACAGAAGAGAAAGGGATTAAGTCTGAGACCTCTCAAATAACTGTACACACTCACTACAAAAAGTCTGTTTGGAGAGAGAAAAAATATCCCCTGTAATAACCTTCGAGAATCTTGCAGACATTTTCAAGTAATGACAAGTAACAAGTTAAGAAAAGACCAAGTAGAAAGGAAAACTTGAAGGGTTTAAAAAAACAAAAGTTTAAAACTGTGTTTCCCTTGTGGGGCCTCCCAGCAGAGGAGCATTTAGACGGAAAGGATAGAAAACATAGCCACTGGCATGAGAGCCATAAACTCGCTGATAAGGAACTGGAATAAAGAGAATCGGCAACAAATTGCCTACCCTGGCTCTGCATTGTGAATATCTCCGCGAACTAATGAGTTTTCACAAAAACCACTTTCCTGAAAGTGATTTCTTTTCCAAGATTCCCCACAAGCAGAGGAGAATATAATACTTCCATTTGGTTCCAACTGAACTCATCAAGGCCTCACTGTCATCTGCTAAAGACTGAAGGCTATTTGGGTAGTGGTCATGAGCACATTTGAGTTTTGGTATGAATTCAGTTCTCCCCCAGACATAGGAGTTTTATTTCTACTAAGTGATCAGCATGTCTTTGTGTTGATCTTAGTGCACACTGATTTGTCTTTGTGTCCCTGATTGAATTACATTAGCCTGTGTTAAAGCAGGGGCCGACATTGTGGCGTGGCCTGTAAAGCCAGTGCCAGCATCCCATATAGCTGGAGTCCTGGCTGCTCTACTTCTGATCCAGCTCCCTGTTAATGAGCCTGGAAAGCAGTAGAAGATGGCCCAAGTGCTTGGGCCCCTGCACCCACGTGGGAGACCCGGAGGAAGCTCTTGACTTCAGACCGGCCCAGCTCTGGCCATTGTGGCCATTTTTGGGGAGTGAACCAGTGGATGGAAGATCTCACTGTGTCTCTCCCTCTCTCTCCCTCTAACTCTGCCTTTCAAATAAATATTTAAAAAAATATTTTCAAGCCATGTGCAAAATGATAAGGCATACTGCACTGGGGGTAGGGGGCTGGTGATAGATACAGAGACCACTGGGACAGTGTCTCCCAGAGCGGGAGAGGCCAGACCCCACCACAGTGCCAGCAAGAACTGGTGGAAATTTATAACCAAGGAGCAGGATGTGGTTCGTGGGTGGAAAATTACTAAGAAGAAGCATCAAAGGGAAAGAGTTTCTGGCTAAATTGATAAGACTATTGCTGAAGGCAGGCCAGGGGGATAAAATATCAAGGGTAGGAGAGGTTTGCTAAATAACTTGTTCTAAGGGAAGGGAACAAGGACAGAGAGGGAAGGCCAAGGGCAATCTGAGGACCAGGAGGAGCAGTAGTGGTCAAGGGACAGAGCCTGTGTCATCTGATTCTGATTAAGTAGAGAGAGATGACCGTATTTAGTCCCCTGCTTATCAGATCCAGAAATGGTTCAGAATGCTCTTCTGTGTCCATATTGTTCTGTCTACTTAAAAATAAGCCTTACCTCATGTATCTATGAAATGAATAGCTCTCTCAGCTGTGGAGTTGGAGAGACTAGCATGAGGTCGAGCCAGGGAGCCCCACAGCCTGTAATTTGCAACTCTTACATAACATGTTTGTTCTTTCTTTAGTACCCAGGAGCTACTGTGCTGAGTCTCATCTGCTAGTTTGAGAGTAGTCGGAGCTGGCCCAGCCATGTCAGCTCTGCCCTGGGGATTGCCTGCCTCTTTTCCTTACACTTTCCCATCCTAGGACTTCTCAGGAATAACCCATCTTTGTACTTAGAGTTCACTTTCATCATGAACACCTTTTAAAATGAAAAATTAATAGCCATCTCCCAGAATGCCTAAGAAAGACCAATTGGAGATTTTATTGTATTGTATTCAGTTCTCTCTGAGTTGCTTTTATCTCAGTTTTTTTCAAGGCCAGGCTTAACTTTTCTGTTAAGGAGAACTTTTAAGCTGTTTTTCACTAGCTTATATTACCAGGACTGTAAGGTTTTAGGGCTGCTTCATCAATATTTTACAAGTAAGTATGATTAGCACTTTAAGATGGACATGGGGGATTAGCCTATCCTAAAAAGAAAAACAAAAACTTGCCATTTAAAAATGATGCAGCAGATTAGATGCTTGTAGGTGTACACTAATTTTACCAAGTTGCTGTTACCGACCCAAAGTGGAAATCAAAACTTTACCCAGAAGTAGTTGTCACACATAATAATTTTTATTTGCAACAAATAAGAAGGCTACAGGGAATCTTTTCCAAAGCTGTGGCTTCCTGAGCAAGGAAAAGCAAGTGTTTCTTATTTGGGGAGGGGATTGAATATTCCAAAGGGGACGTTTTGTCAGGAGCTCACACAGGCTTTTTGGAAATGTGCTGTCACGTACACTGCATGTTATGGTAACGAAACTTCAGCTCCTCCTAGGGCTGAGATCTCAGCATTGAAATTAAGCAAAGCGTGACCTTTGGACACTTCTTGGCCCATCTGTGAAGACCTGGCTCTCACTGGAGGGTCTGGGCCAGTTCAGAGTGGTTGGAGATTGTAATTCCTCCTGGAAGAAAACTGAGAAATGACTGAAAATCACAGTGCTGGGCCTGCATTGCGGCATAGTGGGTAAAGCCACTGCCTGTGAAGCTGGCCTTCCCTGTGGGCGCTAACTTGTGCTCCACTTCCCATCCAGCTCCCTGCTAATGGCCTGGGGAAGTAGTGGAGGATGGCCAAGGTGCTTTGGTCCCTGCCACCCACATGGGAGACCCAGATGAAGTTCCTGGCTCCTGGCTTTGGCCTGGCCTAGCCCTGGTTGTTGTCTCCAAATGGGGAGTGATGCAACAGATGGAAGATCCATCTTTCTCTGTCTCTCCCTCTCTCTGTATCTCTGACTTTCAAATAAATAAGTAAATCTCTAAAACAAACAAAAAAACCAAGGTTCTTTCTAAGCCTTGAGTAGCTAACAAATGGGTCAGAATAAAGGCTTTTGGGCGGCTTAGGGGCATTAGCTAATGACATTGCCGCTAGTGACTTGTGAGTGGAAAGACATTTTTTCATAATAAACTTCAAAATAAAACATGTAGTTAGAATTGGAATTTTTGAAGACTTCTTTCATTAACACAACCCATCAGTTATACAACTTAGAAAGGAGCGAAGTTGAGCTTTCTTACTGTGTTGCTGTTTCAGGACCACAGGCTATGGTGCTCGGCGGCCTTTGTACACTGAGCACAGGGGATCTTGCTAGTTTGTCCTTTCTTAAACCCCCAGTACCACTTCAGAGTTACTTACATTTCATTTATGTTATTTCTTCACTTTATTTGAAAGGCAGAGACAAAGACAAAGAATTTCATTTGCGGATTCTCTCAGGAGCCCATAACAGCCAGGGCTTGGTCAGGCCAAAGCCAGGGGCCTGGAACTCAATGCAGGTTTCCTAGGTGGGTGTCAGGGACTCAGTTACTTGCTTCATCTTGATGGTGGGGCCACGGATGACCAAAGCTTCCACCTCTGAAAATGTTTTGAACTAAAATAATGGTTTCTTAATCACAGCATAGAGAAAATTAGCACCATGTCAGTATCTGTGATGAATCACTGATTTCAATATGCCAAATTGATCATTCTTGCCAATCCCAGTTACGCAGAGTTCAGCTGTACCCCAGGATCAGTCAGTGCAGAGAGCAGTGGGGCAGTATAAGTTTTCTCTTTGCCCGTCTTTGCCAGTGGTGTTTGTCTCCCAAAGAAAGACAACTAAGGGGCTGGCGCTGAGGCGCAGTAGGCTAACACCCTGGCCTGAAGTGCCGGCATCTCATATGGGCACCAGTTTGAGACCCAGCTGCTCCTCTTCCAATCCAGCTCTCTGCTGTGGCCTGGGAAAGCAGTAGAAGATGGCCCAGGTCCTGGGCCCCTGCACCCAGGTGGGAGACATAGAAGAAGCTCCTGGCTTTGGATCAGCGCATCTCCAGCTGTTGCGGCCATTTGGGGAGTGAACCATCGGATGAAAGACCTCTCTCTCTCTCTCTCTGCCTCTCTTCTCTCTATGTGTAACTCTGACTTTCAAATAAATAAATCTTTTAAAAAAAAAAAAAAAGAAAGCCAAAATTTGTGCCTCCCCAGAACATGTGGATACATAAGGTGGTTTCAGATAAGCAAAAGGTGTTTTTTTTTTTTTAAAGATTTATTTATTTATTTTAAAGTGAGAGTTACAAAGAAGCAGAGGCAGAGAGAGAGAAAGAGGTCTTCCATCTGCTGGTTCATTCCCCAAATGGCCATAATAGCCGGAGCTGGGCTGATCTGAAGCCGGAGCCAGGAGCTTTTTCCAGGTCTCCCACATGGGCACAGGGGCCCAAGGACTTGAGCTATCTTCTGTAGCTTTCCCAGGCACATTAACAGAGAGCTGGATTGGAAGCAGAGCAGCCAGGACTCAAACCTGTGCCCATATGGGATGCCGGCGCTATAGGTGGTGCTTTACCCGCTACGCCACAGCAATGGCCCTGAAAAAGGTATTAACAAGGGAAGTAGGCAATCCGCTACTGTGGATTTGAGTAGGCGTCTGATGATGAAAATGGCCTGTATCTTTGAGCATCGTGAGCCATTCTCTCCTTCCATCAGTAATTCCCTTTTTCTGTCTCTTTCTCTCAGCACTCCAGCTCTCGCCTGAATTACCAAAGCAACGTTCAGGGATCCTCCCAGGCCCAGAGCACACTAGGCTACTCCTCATCGTCTCAGCAGAGCGCACAGTACCACCCCTCGCACCAGGCCCACCGGTACTGACCAGCCTGAGCACAGGTCCCAGCAATACTACGTTTGCATTGAAAAGAACCCCAAATGCCAACTCCGATGCCAGTTGAAACTCACACTCTTGGGAAGAAAACTTTGTATTCTGAGCGTGTTGCCAGACTGACAGCTCCCCTTTACCGCTGTGAAGTCTCCCCAGCACCCTCGCCCGCATGCGATCCATTGTGACTTCTCCGATGAAGTGGCTGATGGGCTCCCAGCACTTCTGTACCCTTCGGCCCTGTTTTGAAGGATTTCCTGGTGCACCTTTCTCATGCTATAGCAATCACTATGATTTGTCTTTCAGAGCTCTTTTAATAGGATTTTAATGTTTCAGGAACAAGAGTCCAGCGGTGTATAGTTTTGTACTTGGTGAACTGGCTTAGCAACACAGGTGGGAAAGCACCTGTGAAACGCCACGTTGTTTTCACAGACTCTTAAGTGTTTTGCTCATGGAAGTCTTAAGCAGAAGCTGTTACTGTCCCAAAGTACTGTCCTATGGTATTCTTATTTATCTAGTTTCAGGGAAGGTCTGAGAAAGACAAGTGGTGGGACAGAAGGACCTGCAGCCCAAACCAGCCTGGGTCTGTGCAGTGACTGTGTTTTGTGCTATGAAGAACTGAAGGATGTGGTAATTTTTATATAATCACTCATCTGGAACTAAGTTCCCAGAATTTCCTTTATTTTGAATAATATTCAGCAATGAAGAATTATAATTTTTAACCTTCATGTAGCCAAGTCTACTTTAAAAAGGGTTTCAAGAGCTTTGATGAAATCCAGTCTGCTGGTGACCCCCACCGGAAGCCTGCCTGAGAGAACCTTGGCTGCACTAGGGTTTCCCTCTCTGAGGAGTAATGTTGATGAGAGGACGCGTTCCTCCCCTGGAAGGAAGTCTTTCAGCGCGTGTTGTACAGAGTCGGCTTCTCTAAGGAACCGTGGGTGTCTTCACATCTGGGTCTGCGTAACTCTCGCACATAATCAAGGCGACTCAGCTAGAAGCCTGCAAATGAACCTGCTTTTAAAATAAAGAACAGCGTTCTCCATTCGTACTTGCATTAGACACAGAGTGACTATATTTTAAAGCATGTTAAAATTTTAGGTTTTATCCATGTTTAAGGACGTATCATATATGCATCATTTTGCTGTTGTTACTGCAACTTAATCCTATCAAGAATCTTTCCATTGCACTGAATGCTTTTGTTTGCCCCTAGGAGAAAACCTAATAATTGTGCCTAAAAACTATGGGCAGATACTATAAGACTATCCTATAAGACTATACTAGATAAGGTGACTATTTGCATTTCCATTATCTATGAATTACAGGCTGAGTTGTTTCTTAGGGGAAATGAGAAGACTTAGGGCTCCCATCATAATGTAAGGGGCAAGACATTGTTGTTCCTCTCAATGCTCCTAGCAGCACCAGCCTTGTTGTACGTGTCCTCTTGAGCTAGAAGAAATAGCTGATTGTGGTATATGCAAGCTATATGCATTTTTTAAACTATTCTTTGTGAACTTATCTACCTGGTTATGATACTCTGGGTCCATATACAAGTAAAATAAGATTTTAGACAGAAGCCAGTATACATTTTGCACTATTGATGTGATGCCGTAGCCAGCCAGGACCTTACTGATCTCAGCATAATATTGCTTATTACCAATAATAAAGACTATAAAGGCACTCATGAAGACTGAAGGCAAAACAGGTGACGTGCTCCATTGGAAGGAATTTCTGATCATCTCCAGGGTCTTTGTACCCCTTCTACTTTTCAAAATAGGAGGTGAACAGCCCACTGCCTAGTGTCGCTCCCTGTGGAAGCCCTGCCCAGTGCACGGAGACCTCACTCTCCTGAGCAGCCGGCCGTCAGGTGCTCACTGCACCCCCACCACGTGCCCACACAGAGGGCAGGACCCAGTTCCCGTCTGTGAGGTGCCTAGGGTGGATTCCACCACCGTGAGCTCTCCTGGAATGTCTATGCCAAGTGATCAATAGACTGTGAGGGTCCTTTTGTTTACTCCTTAAACCCACTTGGACAGTAATTATTCCAAATTCTGTTCTGCAGTCAGCAGTGTGGGAGAAGGGTTTCCATGTCTGTCTCGAGAAAGTGGTTAAATATCACAAGAGGCACCTCTGTCTATTTATAATGTTCACGGCAGCCACAGTCTGTGGGCCTTCTGGCGGAAACCGCTCTACTGAGTGGCTCTGGGAAAATATAGCGAGAACAGAAACTCTGTTCCTGCCCTTAAGGAGAGCATGCATTTAATAAAGGAAGCCCAACGCAAGTCTGTACATAAACCAAAACGCCATGCCCGCTAGTACTTTATAAGCCACTTTGATATCTTGCTCTTTTACCCCGTGCTTGTGCAGCCACGGGACCGCCCTGCTCCCCTCGTGTGTAATGAACTGTACCGGCAGAACTAATGCGAATTCTTGGTGCGACGTCAGCAGTTGCTGTCAGTGCCAGGACCTAGGCAGAACCCCCATTCCACACACGAACGGGGGTCTTATCACTGCGCTGCACTGGCCCTCTTCCTTTTCTTGCCTCAGGGTTGGAGATGCCCACTGATGCCCACTGGCCTCTGAAATAATCGTGTTTCATAATTTCCCTGCTCCATAATGGGAAGCAAAGCCCTTAGCACACGTAAGGGCCCTAAAACCGCAGGACCTCTAAGGGGACCCGCGAAGCTTTTTGAGGGGGAACATTCACTTTTTTGTGGGTCCCTCTTTGAAGACGTGTCAGATCCTGTGTAGTCCCCAAGGGCTGCAGGAGGACATCCCTCACTTAGCCTGTGGGGGCAGCAAAACCAGGGGAGGTTACTGAAAGGAAGGGGCGGTCCCAAGGGCAGCCGTTCCGCTCTGTGTTAGAGGTGGCTTGCCGGTGAGGCATGTGTGCGGGAGAAATCAAGGGTTTCTGGACAGATGAGCCCACGACGAGGTAGCTTGGGGACAGGGCTGACCCTGTGAGGCAGAAACAATCCTTGTAGTGAAGTAGATCGTGTAGTGACATGCAGAAACCAAGGACATGTATATTTTTATATCTGTGGTTTTTGGACTTTAGTACTTAGAATTTCGGCCTTCTGCACTACTCTTTTGCTCTTACAGACAGGATTTACACTTGAGAATGGAAAGGGACAGCAGTTACCTAGCCGTTCACTGCCCCCTTCCTAGTGAAGCAACTGCTCCTCGTTCTCCATGCCTCTGGAACAAAGCCGTTTCCTCTGCTAGAGGTCAAGGACAAGTAGTTGGCATGTAGGACGCGCAACTCCACCTGCCTGGGAGTACACTGATGTAGCAGAAACTACGATGAAGGAAGAATTCTATGTAAGTTGCAAATCCCAAGCGCCCCGGTGGTGTCTTCCTGGGTTACGGGACAAGGCAGTGGAACGGTAGTCAGACTAGCTGAGGTTTGAAAGATTCAACTACAAGTAATATTTTATATAAAACCTAGCAATTTAGGTTCCCCTAATCATGAAGAATACTCATAAGTATCTCAAATAATTTCCTTGTTTTAGGACTTTAAAAAAAAGTGTTGTACCTAAGGCCATACTTACTCTTCTATGCTAATCCCTGTGAAGGAGTGCTATGTATTATATGAAAAAAAAATCCTTAATGCACTGTTATCTCCTAAATATTTAGTAAATTAATACTATTTAATTTTTTTAAAGATTTGTCTGTGTAGACACTAAAAGTATTACACAAAATCTGGACCGAAGATGTCCTTTTTAACAACAATTTAAAGTACTTTTTATATATGTTACGTAGTGTATCCTTTCTAAATGGCCTGGTTTGTATTTTCTATAATTCCTGTTTGTGAAGTGTACTCGTCCTTGTCTTTCTTCAGTCATTTTCTGCACGCCTCCCTCTTTACATGATTATAGAGAAGACCGTAGCTCTTCCCACTTGGCTGCAATCCGTGTGCTTGGAGCTGCCTGCACCCCAGTGAGGCCCACTCCGTGGGGTGCAGGACAAGCTGCCACTTGGAGCTGAGTGTTTCCCACCTTTGAGTTGTCCTGACTTCCTTCTTGAAATGACTGTTAAAACTAAAATAAATTACATTGCATTTATTTTATATTCTTGGTTGAAATAAAATTTAATTGACTTTGTTTCTCTGTGGAGGTTTGTTTATTTATTTATTTTATTTATTTGAGAGGCAGAGGTCTTCCATACACCCCGCAAAAGCCTGCCAACAGCCAGAGATGGGTAGGCCAAAGCCAGGAGCCAGAACTCAGTCCGGGTTGGGTGATGGAAAACCCAAGGACTTGAGCTGTTGCGGTGGATTCGTTCTGAGAGGAGGAGCGTGATGGGGGCAAGAGGTACGGAGTCGCCACACAGACCCTGGGAGCTGGGTGGAAGCGGGCCAGAGGCGAGCAGCCCGCAGACTCATTTAATTCAGTTGGTACAGCAGCTTAAATAGCCAAGGCAGCCAGTCTGGTCAAGGGGCGATTTATGCCCTAACCAATCACAGCCTGTTGCCAGGCAGTATCCAAAGCCATCCAATCACAGCCTGTTGCCAGGCAGGCTCTGTTGCCAGGTGGGTTTTGAAGCCATTCCTGAGTAACTGAGGCTCGCTTGCCAGTGGCCATCTTGGCATGGCCTTCTCATTCCACCACATTGAACCATCACCTGCTGCCTCCCAGTGTACACATCAGCAGGAAACTGGAATCGAGAGTGGGGTCAGGACTTAAACCCCAGGCACAGAGATGAGATAGGGACCATCCCAAGCAGGATCTGTACCACTAGACCGAACACCTGCCCTTGTATGTGTTTTTTGAAGTGTAGAGAAGCTATAGTAATCGGTTTTAGTGTTGACATTTGTCTGTAGGCCTCGGAGCCTTTATGATCCTACTGGTCCCGCAGAGCTGCTCTCCCTGTGAATCACAAGATGTTATTTTGTTCAGGATGCTTATCATGCCACAAAACCACAGGAGCAAGCAAGGCCTGCACAAACCTCAGAAGTAAAAATTCTTTAAACATCGCTAGGAGAAACATGATTTTTAAATAAAAATCCGGATGATGTTTTAGAAAAAAGGAAGTAGCATTTTGTGTACAGGGCTGGGTTGGGATTTTCTCCTGGTATAAGAGCATTCTGTAATACCCAAGGTGCCTTCTATGACTACCCCACTACTTAAGGCTTCAGGGAGTAGAGAATGCCGAAGTGACAGAAATAAAAAACACTGTCCAGCTGGGGTGAGGCTCTGGTTGGTGTGGGTTTATCTACTCAGTGCTTCTCTCAGAAAACTGTTCTTTGACACAGCTGCTTTTCTAGCCAGCTGGCAGGTAAGACAAAGTGGACTGGACAAACCCACTCCTGGGCAAACAGGTGAAGGATGTGTCCATCTCCGCAGCAGACTGGAAGCTCTTTGCGGACAAGGCTGGGTTTTATTCCCTCTCTGCTCTGAAGAGTTGGCATAACATACAGCCCAGAGCAGTCGGTGAACATGGGAGGCAGTGAGCATCGCTGATGCACGCTTGCACGACGTTGCTAGATCGTATGCCACATTTGTATATGGACCAGGATGAACATAATTTTGTTCCATAAATACTGAAACTGCTAGAAATAGGCATCAGTGTTAAAAACCAGGTTTGTTTATTATGTTTTGACTGCTAATTCAATATTACCCCAAAGGGACAAACAATTCCACTTGGCATTTGAATTAATATCAGCTGCACTTGGCAAAGCCATTTTTCCCCCAAAGATTTTTTTTGTTATTTATTTGAAAAGTGATTACTGTGGGGAGCAACTCGGACTATACTGTTACTGGAATTAAGACTTATTCTATGCATCTGCTCTCCCACAATATGGCGCTGGGAGAGAAGAAAACAGCTTCTGCACAGCTGCCTCCAGTTCAGCCAATAAACTGTAGGACTTGCTCCTGATTGGAGGAGAGCAGCGTACTCGGCGTGTGGGCAGCCGAGTTAGGATTGGCGGAGGAGGACTATAAAGGAGGAGAGAGACGGCATGCACCAGGAACATCTAAGGGGAACATCTAAGGGGAACACCTGTGCAGCCCCCTAGAGAGCCGGCCGGCGGTGTGCCGCTCCCCTGCGGAAGTGGGGAATGTGGCCAGGGGGAACTGCCCTTCCACGGAGGTGGAAGGGACAGTAGCCAACCCAGGAAGAACCAGCAGCAAACCCGGGGAGGGCCGAGCAGACGAAAGAACAGCGCAGGGTCCTGTGTCGTTCCTCCACGAAGAGGGGGAGCGACATAATGGTGCCGTGACTCGGATATGAAGCCTAGGCAGGGCTTAGTGTCGTTCCTCCACGAAGAGGGGGAGTGACAATTACAGAGAAGGAGGTACACAGAGAGATCTTTCGTATGTTGGTTCACTCCCGAGGTCCACAGCAGCCAGGGGTTAGGCCGAGCTGAAGCCAGAAGGAGCCCAGAACTTCATCCGGGTCCCCGACCTGGGTGGCAGAAGCCCAAGCACATAAGCCATTTTCTGCTGCTTTTCCAGGTGCATTGGCAGGGGAGCTCAATCAGAAACAGAGCAGCCAGGACTCAAACAGGCACCCATAAGGGATGCTGGGGCCACAGGCCGTGTCCTCACCGCTGTGCGACAGTGCCCTGCCATCTTTGTTCTGAGCACCTACTGGTAGGTGTTTGAAATCCTTGCAGAGTCTTGTTTAGTAGGCAGTAGGGTAAGTAACAGAAACCTGAAAGAAAATTTTGTTCTTTTTATCTAAATGAGAGAACATAAAATGGGAAAATAAAGCAAATGCTGACTTAAAACATCACAGTGTGTTTCCTCAGCACATCCCTTTTTCACTGCTCAAACTTCCAAACGGCACTGCTGAGCGATTGGCTGAATGTTCAGATGTGCAAGTCCTAACCCCGAGGTGGCTGCATCTGGAGATAGGGCCTTTACAGAAGCACAGAAGGTTGGGTGAGGGTATGAGGTACAGCCCTGATCCGTACGACTGGTGCCCTTAGGAGAACAGGTACCAGAGAGCCTGCTCCCTGCTCCCACTCCGAGCCAGGACACAGCAAGAAGGCAGGCATCCATCTACAAGCCAGGAAGAGGCCTCACCAGATGCTCAAATTGCCAGACCTTGATCTTGGAGTTCCTAGCCTCCAGAACTCTTACAAAAATAGATTTCTGATGTATGAGGCCCTTGTGTGTGGTGTTCTGCTATGCCCTGGGATAGCAGTAAAAGATGGCCCAAGTCCTTGGGCCCCTGTACCTACATGGGAGTCCCAGAAGCAGCTTCTGGCTCCTGGCTTCAGATAGGCATAGCTCCAGCTGTTGCGGCCATCTGGGGAGTGAACCAGTGGATGGAAGACCTCTCTCTCTGTCTCTACCTCTCTGTAACTCTGTCTTTCAAACAAATAAAATAAATATTAAAAAAAAAAAGAAAATGGTGAATGTTAGGTGAATTTCACCTGGATTAAAAAAAAGAAAAAAATTTTTAAAAGATGTATTTATTTATTTGAATGGCAGAGAGTTACAGAGAGGCAGAGAGAGAGGTCCTCCATCCGCTGGTTCACTCCCCAGGTGGGTGCAACGACCAGAGCTGTGCTGATACAAAGCCAGGAGCCAGGAGCTTCTTCCCAGTCTCCCACATGGGTGCAGGGGCCCAAGGACTAGGGCTATCTTCTACTGTCTTCCCAGGCCATAGCAGAGAGCTGGATTGGAAGTGGAGCAGCCTGTACTTGAACCAGTGCCCATATGGGATGCCAACACTGCAGGTGGCAGCTTTACCCGCTATGTCACAGCGCCAGCCCCTAAATTTTTTTTTTATTTTTAAATTTGTGGTTTTTATTTTATTTTATTTTTTATTTTGAAAGGCAGATTTACAGAGAGAGAGAGGTCTTCCACCCACTGGTTCACTCCCCAGATGGCCACAATGTCCAGGCTGGTCCAGGCCAAAACCAAGGGTCTTCTTTGTGGAAGCAGGGGTCCAAACACTTGGGCCATCTTCTGCCTTCCCAGGCACATTAGCATGGGGCTGGATGGCGCAGCTGGGAGTTAAACAGGCACTCATATGAGAAACCAGTATCGCAGGCTGTTGCTCAACCCTCTACACCCTACTGCTGGCACCTAGAGTTCACTTTCTATTTGGTCTGTTTATTTGATAGGCAGAGAGAGAAAGAGAGTTTCCATCTGATGATTTAGTCCCCAAATGCCTGTAATGGCCCTGTGCTAGGGCTGAAACCAGGAGCCAGGGCTCAATCCAGGTCTCCCAGGTAGGTGGCTGTCACTGCTGCCTCCCAGGGTCTACATTAGCAGGGAGCTGGAAGCAAGAGTACAGCAGAAAGCAGGCACTTTGATATGGGCTATGGACTTCTCCACTGCTGGGCTTAATACTGCCCCCACAGCTTTGTGCATATTTCAAGATTATTTTGACTACTATAGAGTCTGAACATTCCCATGTAAATTTTAAAATTAAGTTGTCAATTTATATCAAAAACTTCTGCTGAATTTTGTTTGGAATTTTCTTGAATCTGTAAATCAATTTGGAGAGAGTTATCTCAATAATATTGAGTTTCCTGGTCTATAAATATAATATAGCTCTTCATTTTGGGTTTTCTTTAATATTTCTCAGTAATGTTTTGCAAATTTCAGTGTAAAAAACTGTAGATCTTTTATTACATGTATTCCTAAGTGTTGATATTACTATACATGACACTTTAAAAATATCAATTTCTACTTATTTATTGCCAATATATAGAAATATATATTGATTTTTATATATTGCCTTTATATCTTATAGCCTTGGTAAATTTGCTATTCTAGTAGCTGTTGTGTGTACGTATGAGGGAGGATTCCTTTATTTATTTTTTTTTTGTTTTTAAGAGAAATTTATTGGCCGGTGCCACAGCTCACTTGGCTAATCCTCCACCTGTGGCACCAGCACCCCGGGTTCTAGTCCCGGTTGGGGCACCGGATTCTGTCCCGGTTGCTCCTTTTGCAATCCAGCTCTCTGCTGTGGCCCGGGAGGGCAGTAGAGGATGGCCCAAGTGCTTGGGCCCTGCACCTGCATGGGAGGCCAGGAGGAAGTACCTGGCTCTTGGTTTTGGATTGTAGCGGCCATTTTGGGGGTGAACCAACAGAAGGAAGACCTTTCTTTCAGTCTCTCTCACTGTCTAACTCTGCCTGGCAAA